AGGAAGGAAGGAAGGAAGGAAGGAAGGAAGGAAGGAAGGAAGGAAGGAAGGAAGGAAGGAAGGAAGACATCGATGTGAGAGAGATACATCGATTGGTTGCCTCCCACACACGCCCTGACCGGGGCCAGGAATAGAACCTGCAACCCAGGTCCGTGCCCTTGACTGGGAATTGAACCCACAACCCTGTGGTCTGCAGACCAGTGCTCTAACCACTGAGCTACACTAGCCAAGGGCCACTCTGCCCCTTTCTAAGATGGAAGAAAAGACTCTCTAACACAAGCTACAGAAATGGTAGCTTAATGTCTCTATCGCCATGAAAAGGGTTTAGAAAGGCTTGAGCACACGTGAACCCTGGAATCTTCGTGAGCAGCAGCTGTCATTTTGTAATTACTATGGTGGTTGACAAAGTACAGGCCCGGATTTGGGAACAGCTGAGAGAGAGAGTTTAAGACACACTAGTTTGTACTGGAGCTAAGGAGAGCTTTAAGTTCCTGTTTCTCTTTACTGTGCGACCCCAGGTGCGTTACCTTCTGGAGTGGACTGAGGAGGACCTGGAGGATGTGGAGGATGCTGTTGGCACTGCGGAGCTTGAGTTTTGTCACCCCTTGTGCCAGTGCCCAAAATGTGCTCCAGCTCAAAAGGTTTGGCTCTGCTTCTGTTGATGAGGGTGGCGATGGGAGGGAAAATCCTTCCTTCTCCCCTTGAGAAAGCTGTGCTTCTAGCCAGCTGATTGCTGAGGGGCTGGCAGTGGGCAGCCCTGAGCCATGGTGGGGTTGGCTAGCTCCGGGCCGGGAGAAGCTGACGCTAGTATAGGATCTGGGTTGGGCCGCCTGCTCCCTGAACAGGCAGGTCAGTGAGCAGGGACATCCACATGTGCCCAGTGTTTCAGCTGCTCTCTGGGCCTGAGTCACAGGCAGGAGTTTACAAGTAGACATGCCAAGGGTCTCTGTCCATGTGGCCGCACCCCCCTGGGGAGGCTGCACTCGAGGTCAGTGCCACTGCCTTTGCTCACGTTGGTACTTCCTCTGTGGCAGACAGATCTCCTGTACGACCCAGTTTGCCCTAATGGCAACAGCTTGCAAAACCACAGAGCAATGTCACAACCAGGGTATTGACACATGTACAGTCCACCCACCTTATTTAGACATCCTGTGTTACGTGTGCTGGGGGGTGTGCGTGTGTGTTTAGATCTGTCCAGTTTGATCCTGTGTGTAGCTTCGTGTATCTGTCACCACATTCAGGGTACAGAACAGTTCATTGACCACGAGAAGAGTCACCATGTTGCCCTTTTATGACCTCACCGACCTCTCTGTCACCCCTGCTCCACCACCCACTAATCTGTTTTCTGCTTCAAAAATGTAATCACACAGCACATAACCTTCTGGGATGGGCTTTGTTCACTAGCAAGATTCCTAGTTGTTGCATGTGGTTAAGAGGTTATTCCTTTATTGTTGAGCAATATTTGTGGAAGGTGTTTGCCAGTTGGTTTAACCATTCACAGAGTTACCCAGCCAGGGCTGTTGTTATTTTCTTTACTGTCGAGTTTTCAGAGTTCTTTGTATGTTCTAGGTTCTAGCTCTTTGTTAGATACGTGGTTTGCAAATACTTTCTTTCGGTCTGTAGTTTGCCTGTAGCTTCTTCACATGGGTTTTCGCACAGCAAGTTTCTAATTTAGAAGCCCAGTTTGTCAGTTTTTCCTTTTATGGATTGTGCTTTTGGGGTTAAATGTAAGAATTCTTTGCTTAGCCCTAGATTTCAAACATTTTCTCTTGTTTTTCCCCCTAAAAGTTTTATAATTTTACATTTAACAGGTTAAGTCCCTGATCCAGTTTGAGTTAGATTTTGTACAGAGTATGAGATTTAGGCTGCATTTATTTTTGTCTGCGGATGTCCACTTGCTCCAGCACTGTTTGTTGAAAGGCTATCCTTCCTCCACTGACTTGCTTTTGGACCTCAGCTGACTGTATGTGGTGTGGGTCTGTTTCTGAACTCTCTCTTCTGGTCCACAGATCTGCATGTCTCCTCCACCAGTGCCACACCATCTTGATTACTGCAGCCATAGAATAAGCCTTAATAAGCCATAGAGTGATTCGCCCTCATTTATTCTTCTTGCTAGGATCGTTTTAGCTATTCGAGGGCCTGTGCCTTTTCCTATAAATTTTTGTTGCTGTTTCTTGTTGTTAATCCTCACCTGAGGTTATTTTTTTCCATTTCTTTTCAGAGAGAGTGGAAAAGAGGGAAGGGGGAGAGAGAGCGAGAGAAACGTAGATGTGAGAGAGACACACGGACTGGTTGCCTCCCACATGCACCCCGAGTCGGGGCAGTGAGCAAACACACAACCCAGGTACGTGCCCTCGACTGGGAATCGAACCTGCTACCAGCTGGGGCATGGGCCAACACTAACCACTGAGCAACACTGGCCAAGACTTGCCTGTAACTTTTTAGTCTGATGAAGTCAACCTTCACAGGGACAAGTCTATCTGAATTTCTACTGATGTTCTTAAGGTGTTCTTCTACAGGATCAGCACAGAACTTGTAAGCTTCCTTAAGCACACACAGCATCATAATGTCACAGGGATGTGTCTTTTATATAATATCCTCAGTCAGCGGCTCAATTCTGTCCACAATGATGCCATGAAGTCTGAGAACATATTCCATGTCTCCATAATAGTGCTATGAGTACTTGAATAAGTTCAAGGCATACCCTGGCCAGTCGTCCACAATCACTATTCCTCGCCCATAGTCTGGCGCCTCCTCACTGCTCCCAGCCATGTTTCTCCCAGGGAAAGTGGGAAGGTTCATTTTCTTTTCTTTTTTTTATATCTTTATTGATTTCAGAGAGAGGAAGGGAGATGGAGAAAGAAATAGAAACATCAATGATGAGAGAGTCATTGATCGGCTGCCTCCTGCATGCCTCTGACTAGGGATCGAGCTCGCAACCCGAGCATGTACCCTGACCAGGAATCGAACCAAGATCTCCTGGATCCTAGATCGATGCTCAACCGCTGAGCCACGCCCGTCCGGGAGTCATTTTCTTAATTGTCTGCTTTAGAGAGCAAAGATTTACAATTTCTAAACCTAGTTTATCAAAGATTTCTTTTATATTTTTACTTTGTGTCTTATCTAAGAAATCTTTGCCTATCCCAGTATTGCAAAGATTTTCTTCTCTGTTCTCTTCAAGTTTTATAGTTGTAGCTTTTACATTTAGGTCAATGATGCATTTTAATTTTTGTGTTTGGTGTGAGATAAGGTTGATAGGCAGTTTTTCCATATTGGATACCCAGTCATCCCAGCAAACACTTTTTGTTCCCTGTTTAATTGCCTTGGCATAAGGTGTTATTTCAGGGATCGTTTTCTTGAAAAATGGAAGTTAATCCTTTGACTTCCATACCTTTCTAAAGTAGTTGGGATTCCTGTGGGCAGCCTGATTCTGGATGCCGCTGTGATCTTGAATTTGCTGAGGGGCTGGGGGGGGCAGATGGCTTCAGTTCCTTCAGCCTGGTTTCTTAAATATTAACGTTTCCGTTTCCATCTTCTGCACTTATAGAAGCTGGCAAAGATTCCTGCCAGTGGGCTCGGTGTGAATGTGACCCACCAGGATGGCTCCTCCCCACTGCACATCGCTGCCCTGCACGGCCGGGCGGACCTCATCCCCCTCCTTTTGAAGCACGGTGCCAGCGTGGGTGCCAGAAACGCCAACCAAGCTGTCCCGCTCCACCTGGCCTGCCAGCAAGGCCACTTTGAGGTACGGGCTGTCTCAGCAGAGTGTTGAGGTGCTTGTTTTTGCTTAGAACCTCACTTGGGAATGCTGCTGAGGGGCAGGGGCTTGACAGCTGGCCCAGAGGACCAGCACCCTTCCTTCGTCCCAGCCCCGAGATTCTGAGATGCACATGGACGGACCACTCAGCAACAGAACAGAATCCTGATGCTCCTGGGGGTGGAGCCA